TAGTTGAGATGTAAGTTTAGAGTGAAATGCATCTTAGGGATGTAGCCTAGTTCTACTGAAAACAAGACTTGGACACTCAATGACATGTCCATGGTCACACAGCTAGTGAGTAGCAGAGCTGGGGCTCTATCTCAGGACTTGTAACTCTGAGACCATAGTTCACACATTCAAGCTTGATTCTTTTCCTACAACTGCATATCCCTGTTGCTAGAACCCACTTAATCATAGTTTCATTAGCAGATATATCATGACAAGCACATGTTTAAATTTTACAAATTTTCTGGAGTTGAGTTACCAGGAAAGAACGATACATCCTCCTTGCTCTCTTAAGTCTACTTATAGCACAGACCCTGCAGGTTTTTCTTATTTGACTGGATTTAATTTTTTTTTTCAGGACTAAGGGTTACCTGGAACAATCTGGGTCTTTACTGAGATCACAGTGACAAACAGGCTGAGGATCCAAAGGCCCTAGTCAAGTCATTTAATTTCTGTACAGAACTGGTTAAAAGGGGGTAGTCATAGTGACTTCATGGAGTCATTAATAGGGTCAAAGCAGTATGTGTGCATATCTTCATCCTAATACAATGCCCAGCCCAGATTGTTAGCTTTATTGCCTTCTTTATAAAAAAGTTAGGTAAGCCAAGCTCTTTTAAAAAATATTATTTTTATTTTATGAGCATATTGCCTGCATGTATGTAAGTGCGGCCATGTAATACCCGCGGATGTCAGAAGAGGGTGTGGGAGTCCCCTGGAGCAGGAGTTACAGAGGGTTGTTAGCTGCTGTGTGGTGCTGGGAATTGAACACAAGTCCTCTGCAAGAGTAGCCAGTGTTCTTAACTGCTATGCCACCTCTCCAGCCCCTGTCAAAGTCTTTTTGTCATTGTTTTAAATAGGAAATACGACACCATTGGCCTATCATTTTAAACATTATGCAATACTGTAGATTATTCTAAGAAAAAACCCTGATCATCTTGCTAAAATTTCTAAACCTAAAATTTGAAATCACAAAGACTTAGACTTCCCAGCAGTATTTTCCTTGGCAATGCTAAAAATGATACATAAGAGCTGGCGAGATGGCTTAGTAGGTTAAGGTACTTGCTACATAAGCTGATGTACTGAGTTCTATCTCTACGAGCCATATCTAGGTGGAAGGAAAGAACTGACTCTAAGGAGTTGTCTTTTCTTTTGACCTACACACATGTACAGTGGTATTTGCATGCTAACACTCCCACACACACAATAATAATAAAATCTCAAATCAGTCATGAGGCTGGGCCTACAGTAAAATTTTGCTTTTAGTTGAAGCATATTGCTTCTTTTTAGCAGTGGATATTTGGGGCCTGGGATTTTTAATCCAGTGAGGAATGTCAATCTGCTTTTTATTAGGAAGAATCCATAAACTGTGAAATCCATAATCCTCCATCACAGAGTGACAGCAGTCATTAGCACTTCAATTTGTGCTTGTGAAGAGCTCGTTTTACTTTGTCCACATTTCACCCTAATGTAAGTGTAAAATGCTTGGGCACAGCGCTGCCTGGGGGATTGGAGATGTGCTTGGTTGCTGAGCTCATGCAGCTGTTTCTCCATGTGTCCTGTTTTCAGTGTCCTGTTGCCGGTTCTGCAACAACTGTGAGGTAAGAGGGGAAAGTGGTTGCACGGTGAACATACACCAACAGCACAGATTCCACTTTACCCAGGAGAGCTTGGTATGGTTGGCAGGGGGTGCTCACAAAAAACACAGAAAGGAAGCAACAGGCTTGCTGGTGGAGAGCAAGGGACCTGATCAGTCCAGCTCTAGGAATGGCAAAAACCCCAGTTAATATCTGTGCATTACTTCTAAGACTCCTGGGGGAGAACTGCTCACAAGCACCTAACTACATCATGGGAAAAAACCAAAAACAAAACAAACAAAAAATTAAAAAGATTAGTAGGTAGGAAGAGGTTTAAAGATGGGGTGGCAAGAAAGGGTTATGGAAGACAATGTGATCTGAAAGCAGGGTGGGACGTTTGTGGAGAGAAAGGGAACTAGAGAGAGGTGGGGGTCGGGAGAGGGCAGTGGGGAGGACAAAATTCAAGGACATCATATTTGCATGAAAATGTCACAGTGAAACCCATCACTTTGTATACTAACTAAAAAATGATAGTAAATGAATAAATAATACCAACAAAAAGATTAGTGTGTGGGTATCTAAGGGATGAATGCGCACAGCTTTTCTTTTGGTCTCCAATATGATGAAAGCCAAGGGCACTTCACACATTTTAGACAGACACTAAAGGGGCCACATCTACTCATTAAATATTACAGAAAAAGCTGCTGATGGAAAGAGGAAAAAAACCCAAAGACAAATGATTTTAAATTCCACAAGATTACTAGCTGTTCCTATAAGAAGATGGCTAGACTGGTCACTATACTTTTCCAATCACTCACATTTAGGTACTAGAATTCCGTTTTGAAGGAGAAATACCACATGATGGTTGATTTGCCATTGTGACTAGATGACCTAAGAATACCTAGAAGCCTGGCAAAATGTTCTTTACGTGTGTGGGTGAGGCTGTTTTCATAAAGGTAGCCTGTGTGTCTGAGGGGACTGTGGAGGAAGATCACCCTCAATATGGGTGTGCACCTAGCTGGGAATGGGAAGAACAGAACCAGGAAGGACGAGTGCAGCTCTTCTGGAGGTACCTGTGGATACTTTAGTTCAGCAGTCAAGTGCTTTTCATTTCCCAGCATTTGTTTGTTTAAAAAGTCAATGACATAGCAAAGTTGGATTTTACAATGGGCACTAGTATTCATTTCCACCACTTGACTTTTCACTTTATTTGCTTCCTGTCTGTCCATCCATCTTTGTACTACCCACCCATTAACATACCACACATTTTTGATATATTTCAAAACAGATGCTGCCAACAGATAATACTGTATTTTGAAGGAGTAGAATCAAAGACTATTTTTACTCCTCTATGAATACCTGAGAAATTTATTAGATTTTGCAAAAAGGAGACAAGGAGCAAGCTTGCCCTAAATAATGCACAGATAGACATACCATCTTTCACTTTTCAGGCTCTAGAAAAAGGGTGCAAGCTGTTGCACTGCTTCTTCTACCTACCTAGGGCAACTCTGTAGATAGCTTCATTATCAATTCAAATGCTTCCATTTATGATGACATGGGCTGTTAATTATAGAGAAATGAGCTCTCTTCTGCAGATCGTCAGGAAGATACTTGGATGCTAGCACTAAGTAAACTGTTTTCCTCTTGCTCTTATACCCTTGTATTCCCTGTTCCAGTCATTCCTTGAGTGTAGAAATAGAGTGCTTTCCACACCTCACTCCTCTCACTTAGAGTTTTGTATTACCTCTCTCACATCCTTGTCATGAAGATCAAATGTGAAAAATAGGAGAACACTGTGTAAACAGGACAGCTAAAGCAGCATTATCATCAGAAATCTTAATGCCCCATCTGTAAGGAAACACGGCTGAGGTAATGGTCCACACAGCTACTGGCCTTTTTAAATCAGTCAAAAAGGATTTCAAAGGTTAAAGGGCCAGAATATTGGCAGTTGCCTTCACTCTCTCCCCATCAGTAAGTCATCTTGTCAAGGATCTAGAAGAACCTTGGTGTATATCACATGAACTTGTTTTCATTAGTGAAGTTATTTGTTTTTGGAAATCATCCCAGTTTTAAAACAATGCTTCCATTAGCTGGGCACAATCCCTGTAATTATCCATCATGTCTGACCAGTGCCAAACTATCCTATTTATTGCATACCATTTACCTGGGTGATGCTGAAAGAGAAAGACATTGTCAATGTCTAAGAAGGCCTGAGAATATTTTTAAAATGTTTGAATAAATATTTACTACTGAACTCTGGACAAAAATTTTTGCAAGAAGACAGCAGCAGGAGCTGTGAGTGACGAATGTAAAGGTGCTGGAAGCTGTTTACATACGGGGAAAGCTCAGTAGCATGAACAGTTAAGGCTGGCAAGGCATAAGGTGGCATATTTTCACTTTTTTGTTTTGGGATGAAGGCAAATAAAAAATAAGAGGCAAAGTCAAAGTTAAGTAGGGTAGCAAGAAAATATAAAATAAATAGAGAGAGCCAAGTTTATCATTAATTACTATTATTGGGAATTCACCAGAATTCTGGCACTTTGTTTTATGTATAAAGGGGATTGAAAAATAAGTTCTGGAATCATTCTTGCTCTCAAAAAGCATCCATTCCACTAAGAATTGAATAAAAAAGACAACCAGGATATAGAAAAATTACCTATTCTGGATAGATGGGCTCTAATGTATCAAAGGAGTGAGGGTAGTGTATGGTGTGACAAGTGACTCAACACTGAGTATGTTTACGGCGTGGACAGCAGCACAGCTGTGGCGGAATCTCCACGAGGGGACTTACAGTCAGTTCCAAACCGTAAACATGCTTTTCAGATAGGAAAAAAAAAGTGAGTCAATATGGCTCACCATGCTAATGCTCAGGAGAGAGAATGCCCAGTCCCTGGACTCCACTTGTCTGGTGCTGAAAGTAGAACATATCTTATTCGTATTGAGATGGTTGCACAGAGATATCATCTTCTGATGCCACTAAAATACCCCAAAGTCCCCTAGGTTGGTTCCATATTCATGATAAAATTTCTAATCATAGCTATAATTTGCCTTCCTGTATGCCACACGTTAGGAGAAAAGCAGATGGCCGTAAGGGTCAAAAATTCATTTGCCCTGCTAGAGAGCTTCCTTGTTATAATTACAACCAATTAGGTAAATTAGAGAAAATCACATAAGCACACACATATTCAACATATATTTAAAAGAGAAACACTGGTAAAGATTAATTTAAAGAATGCAGGTATCTAGATACTTATGTGAGGGTTTATATGTTAATAAAATTTTATCACCATGTTCTAAATTAGGCCCTTGTAAGGCCCTCACTATGCTCTTTACTGCAGCTGCTGCATCTTCATCCACAAGTATGCTTAACTGCTGGCCCATTCATCATACCTGACTGCCCAGGGGGTGGGGCACCTGATGGTCCTCTTGGTAGACAGAGAAACACAGTCAGAACAGCAGCTCTGTTCCCAGCACAGGGTTCGATGGCTATTGGTTTAGGTGCACCCTGGAAAAGAAAACCCACTGTGAGTTTGCATAGCCGACATGCATTGCTATGTTACTTTCCACCACATCCATCCTTCTGTTAGAAGTATATTCCTAGACCCCTGGCACAGTGCAGATGTGATATTGGCCTTCATTTGGATAGATGAATGCATTTCACCACGATGTGCAGCCAGTGAACCATAAAGTTTTGCAGCTTTGGTTGCTTTGTCCCAGTGACTTCCTCTCATCAGTGATGTACTACATAACCTGATTTACTCAAATACGTTATCATAATTGCAAACATCCTGTTGACATATCTCTATTTAAATTTTTATTTCTATGTGTACATTGTTTACTATACCTATAACATAGTGAAATTACTCCTAAGGTCAAGCAAATTAACATATCTACCACTTCACAGTTACCTTTCCTTTTGGTAAAAGCACCTAAAAATCTAAGCTTTTATCATAATTTAGCATACAATACAGTATTATTAACTAGAAGCCTCCTGCTGATTATTAGAGCTATAGAGTTATTCATCTTGTCAGGCTGTAGGTTCATACCCTTTGACCTACATCTTCTTGCTGTCTCTCCATCCCTGTGCCTGGTTACCACCATTCTATTCTTTGATTCTATGTATTTGACTTAAAAACTTCCATGTATGAGTGAGAATTCATGCTGGCATATCTTTAATGTTACTTTAGTGAAGTTCATAATTAATAATCATCCATCAGTGCACTTGCATAAACAACAGAACAGAAATATGCTAAATATGATAAAATACTAGTAACACTATTGTTTCATTAATGCCTTATGATGGATTAGGTACTTCAAGTGCCTTACATATAAAACTTATGTAAATCTTACAAGAATGCTGTAAGATGGGAAGAGTTAAGGTTTCTTTTGTAGCTATTTCTTCATATTGAGGCATTCCTTTTGGAGGCTGTTCAGACTTAAGAAGTAAAGGAGACTTAGAAGTCTCAGGAAACTCCAACTATAACAACTGCTAGAGTAGATCCTGCCAGCTGAATGATCCTCTAAGTAACCCCAATACACACAGTGGTTCCCTAAGCTGGACTTGGATGGGATCATTTCTTTAGGCTGTCACTGATTCCCTATTTGGGGTGGATAGATATTTGTTCATGGCTCCCCAGGAAGACAGAGAATGAGGTTAAACTCTCTACAGCTAGGAAGAAGCAGGAGGGCTGGCATGAAGGCTCAGGCAGCTGCCTCCTAAGTCTGTGTTCTTCATTCGTACAAAGTAGTCCATGATGTGTTGACGTACACACATACTCCCCACATGCATATGCAAACACAAGTACACTCACTCCCATCCTACTTACAAACAAATACATACATGGAGTTGGGTTTAAATACAATTACTTTTGAGACAAGTAAAGGTTATTATTTTAGTCAAAGAATGGCAGTTTAGGTTATATTATTAAAGACTTACAGTGAGAGATGGTGGATATAGCAAAGTAGCATCTCACCATAAAGGCAAAATTAAATAGAAGAAAAAATAAATAGAAGGAAAAAAGCTTTTATTATTAGAATAAATGATTTATTCAAGTTTTTTCCACTGAAGATATCTGAATGATTTAGAAGAAATATAGACATATGTAACCATTCACCTAGAATATTCTAGAATATTGCCATTTCCAGAAAGTTTAATGAGGCATTAAAGATAAAATATATCCCTTTTCATGTAAAACTTAGACTGAATTCCTGGTGACAACGGTTTTATGTGGTTATAAAGGATTTCTCCTTTATAGCAACATAAATCTCACGTTTTAAAGTTATCCTTATATAGATATTTTGGAAGTTTTCAATATAAAGGTGAAAGTGGCTATGGTGGTGGAAGCAGAGGGCATTAAAATGTTCCAGGAAAATGGGGTCAGCCATGTTGCTTCACTTGTTCCAAGTTACATGATCTATGGTTTTATGCTTTAAAGCTTACATTTAAAAAGACTTAGTTTTGAAAATGTTAGGTCAAAATCAGCATAAATACATAGATATTATCCAATGATATAAATATTTAGAGAATAGGCTTGTCATAGTCCAAGACTAACAGAGAAATGCTACAAATTTTTCCAAACACATTTCTAGGCAACTTTTAATTTAAAAAACGTAAAGTACATATAAAGGTCAATTGGCTAAAAAATACTAAAAGAACATAAAATGAATTTAAGGTTTAAATGACAGTAATACATTAGAAATACCCAAATCCCTTTCACTGTACTTAAGAAATGATTGATCATTTACAACAGAACAGGTTTTTTTTTTTTATTAATGTTTTTAGTTCTAAATGTAACAATGCTCACTATTTAGTTTATCCAGAATGTTTTTTAAGAACTTGGTTACAAAATTTAGGACAGCAGAATTTTAATATATCTAAATTTTTGAGAAATGGTAGTTCTTGGTGTGAGGGATTTGGGAAAAAAAGAAGTGACTTGGTAATGTCAGTTGGTCTTGTTGCCAGGTTACTGTTCTAATTTTTTTTTTTTTTTTTAACACCAGAAGGCAAAGTTTTAAATATCGAAAGCATTAACTGAAAGGGAAAAGTAGTGAAAAATAACAAAATTTCTGGTGGGATACAGCCTAATTGTCTAACACTTTAAATTTCAGAGACTCACTAACACAGGACAAGAAGACAGAGAATCCTTACCATGGAAAAAGAATCATGTCTACAAAAAGCTAATTCTGTAAAACTTTTCTTAGAATAATTTTCTCACTCTTACTTCTGTGATTATATAGAAAACCTTAAAAAAAAAACCTCTTTGTATTGGTAAGCTATGTAAAAGGAGATTATAATTCTATTTTAAAATCAAATTGTCTTACAACTTGGTTTATTTTTAGCTTTAAGAATTTTCATAAAAGGATATTAGCAAAACATGAATTATTCATTATGTTTAAAATATTAGTTACTAGCACAGTTCTTTGACACTTCTGGAAGAAATTCACATAATTAGAAAAAACATTTCCAGAGATTTTGTGGAAATTATCACCTCTGATAGGGGATTTTAAATAAAAAGGGAAAGAAGCACTTTACAGCACTTGAATTTTTCAACAGAAAACAGCAAAACACTACAAATAATAATAGTTTGGATACCTTGAAGTTTGTCAGTTGTTTTGTGATAAACGTATAACCATGAATCAAAATCGCATCACAATCACATAACATGTTCACTGAACTGTGTAATTTATCATGCACTTTCCATGGCTGCCTCTGGAAGAGATAAGGCATGGGTTTGTTTGCCTACAGCACTCAGCTGCTGTGATTTACTTCTAGGCATTTTCATATTTGTTGTACTGCAAAAAGCTGGTGTTCCATTGTGACAGAAAACACCACTGACAGTTATGTAATTAGCAGTCCTTGTTTATTAAGCACACAGCACTCCTACCGAAGATTTGTTCAGTTCATTCAATGTTTTTGAAAACACAGAACTTATTTTCAAGTCATTGTTTTGATGAACAATAAATTTTATGTTAAACTCTAGTTTTTAGAAATTAAAGACAAGTGACCAGAGAAGCTTCTAGAATCAAAAATACCTTCAAGGTTATAACTCTTACAATGTACAATATGTTCTGAAAGTGAGACTGTCATTTGAGCCCTGGGTCTGTCCTGGGAAACCACTGGGACATGAATCCCTGTAGGTTTAGAACACACAATGGGCAAAGCTAGCTACACGTCTCTTCCTTTGGCCTTTCCCAAGGGTGAGTGAATGAGTAATCTGCTTGGAAATCACAGTGAGGCCCATCTCTGGCAATCAGATCTAGCAGCTGAGGGTTAAGCAGAACTATCTGGTCTTCTCAGAATAGCCATTAAAATTAAGGGATGATAAATCTAATACACCAAGGACTCAAAAGGTGTTCAAGGCCCAAGTAGGTAACTTAGTAATAGCTAGCTTTTATTAAGTGCTTACAATATTTCTGGTGCTACACTGCTTACATGATTTGAATCTTATCCTGTGAAGTAAGGACTGTTTCCATTTTATGGGTAATGAAACTAAAGCTAAAAGAACTTAGGTATACAACAACTAAGACTGCATATCTAATAGAGTGATATGACTTGGAACTTTGAGCTTGTATGCTGAACTCTATGTGGGACTACCTGTAACAAGAAAGAGGAAAAGATTTATCTTTTATAGCATGGATTCTTTTCTATTTACAATCCCTTTTCACCTAAGAAAATTTACATAACATATAGGTATATAAAATAGGTACACAAATCAAACATTCACTGATATCATAGTTATTTCAAAATAATTCTTTATTACACATGTAATTTTGTCATTTATTGATGAAAGCAAATTTGCATACTAATGAGATGGATATGCATGCTTATTTTTACATAAAAAATCAAATGTTGGTTGAATATTTGATACTACAGACCTAAAAGCATTGTCAAAGCTTTTCAGAGTTGATCGACATTTTGATTTTATGATTGTCAATGCTGAGAGCAGTGTTCACATAAATACATAGTGCAAAATTGCAGATGTTTAGGGCCATTTCTGAAATTGTTAGAAATTCTTGTCTAACTTCAACCCAAAATTCATTTAATGATTATTTATTTATTTATTTATATGTAAAATGGAGGTCCCAGTTTGCCTCCATTTCACAGGGATCCAACTGCCTCTGCCTCCACTATGCTGGGATTAAAGATGTATGCCACCACACTCAGCATTTAACGATTTTAAAACATGAAGTTCAAGACAACAACTCAAACGAAAAAATTTAAAATCAAACATTCTGACACAATACAATCAAAAGATAACAATAATTTTATACCTATGTACAGACGAATAATGGTAGGAAAACATTAAAACAATTTGTTTTCCATAATTAAATTAGTATATTTCTTTTTTTAATTTTTAAAAAATATTTTAAGTGTAGCTGTGTTGTGCAATGGCTGCAGAGGTCAGAAACGGGGGTTGGAACCCCTGGAGCTGGCATTCTGGATGTTGTTAGCTGCCATGTGGGCTCTGCTCTTAACCACTGAGCCATCTCTCCTGCCCCTAAATT